AACTTCTAAACCCATCAACACCAACAGTCTAATAAAGACCCCTAACATCAAATTAATCAACCCATCAACACCGACAGTCTAATTCAGGACCACTAACATCGAATTTCTCAACCCATCAACACCAACAATCTAATTACGCACCATTCATTGATATTATCCATTGGAGACATTGAAATCCTATACTGTTGAAGACAAACTTCTTTTCTTATTCTAACTTGGAGTAAATAAAACCTTCATTCTTTAAAATCAGATTAAATATTCATCACACAAAAATAACCGCTGGATACACGACTAATTAAGTATGAAAGAATTCAGTCCGATCCCATTGGAATCCAGTCCAAACTTTCTGGATATTATATCTTAGTTAATTCTTGATCTTGTATGATTGGATTATGATTTAATATTGGGGTGATTGAAACGTGGTAGATTTTGAATGAATGTGAAATTGCTCAGATGACAAACTTAGATCAAGTCAAACCTTCATCTCTAGAATTCAGATTAGAAACTCCATCACGCAAAACTAACCATTGGTCAGGTGGATAATTAAGTATGAAAGGATTCCATACCCGATCCCGTGAAAATCCAGTTTAACCTTTTCCGAATTGTATCATCATCAACTGTTGATTTGTGTGAATGGGTTATTATTGTATAAAAATAATGACTGAATTGTGCTAGATATGTGGGTGGAAAGGTGCTGGAACTGTGGTTGATATTCTCTTGCTATGTACTTGAGGTAGAATGAATTGAAATTGAAATCTTCCAGATGACCAACTTTCGATCAAGTCAAAACCTTCATCCTCCGAAACCAGGTTCAAAATCCAACACACAAAACTAACCGTTGGGCATACGGTTAGCTAAGCACGAAAGACTTTTACCCCCATTCCCATTGAAATCCAGTGAAAACTATTTCCAAAATTGGACCATCAATAACTGTTGGGTTGTTGGATGTTTCTATGATTTTTTTATGGATTAATAACATAAATAATGGTGGTGTAAAAATGAACTTCAGTGGAATAATGTAGTATAGTTTATGGATAAGGGAGTAGGGCCATTGGAGGATTGATTGTTTTCGGAAGAAGGATTGGATTTGGTTTTCGGGTCTTTTGGATCTGAATTATTTGTGGCGGATAACCCCTCTGAATAAGGTTGCATTCTCTTTCCAACAAATTTCAAACCAAGAATGCTTTTTGGGGCATTAAAAGACATAATTGGCTTTGATTGATTGAAGTTTGGGGAGAACTTGGGGGCATCATTAGGTAGTTAGGCTTTTTGATTGCGGGCGGTAAAGAAAGAAAGAAGAAAAGAAAGGAAGAATAAATGTAAAGTTTTTTCTTAAATTTTTGGCGATCTGGTGGTTAAAATTGGCTGCAAAAAAAAAATCTAAGACAACACAAAAATAAATGAATCTAGACCAACTCATAGTATTAAAATTCGACACCAATTTTCCAATATACTCGTATAGATATAAAATCCTTGTTCACTGACTGTATTAGTGATCCTATTCGTTCACTATATAAGACTATTAACAGTTGAATTTTATGGAGGTTAGCCACTTTTATTTGTAGCTCAGTGTGGGTGTTACCCGACTTTGACATCACGTTCGATTTCTTCTGTTCATTAATGTATTGGCTTAACTAATTAATTTGAACATCATAGACCAACACAGCCCACCAATTCTAACCACGATAATTAAACAGAGAAGTTAAGGGTATGGGCTCCCCAAATAACATGATAGACAACCTTGAGAATCCAATTTTGTTGTGTTCTTATTCTTAAAGTTTTACGAATTTCAATTGGATTTATATAAACTGAATAACCAATTCGGTTTTGGTCATGGGGGATGAAATAATAATAGAACTGGCAATCATTCGTCGTTCTTTTTCTGAATGACTGCATTTCTCAACTGGGTCCATTTACAAAGGAAGTGCCATTCCATAATAAGATTTTCCTTTATCACTGGACAGAAGTTTTGCAGCAAACGAAATTCTTTTTTTTGTAAGAAATCTTAATAAAAATGCCAATAAATTTCAAAGGATTGTTTACTAGCAACATATCTATTAAGTTATATTTAAGTAAAATTCTTGCAAGAAATTGTATCTAGAGATGAATCTAATGGTTAAAATAAGGGTAATTAATTCTGAAAACATAAGAATTATTGGTATTGAATATGCCAATCGTCTTCTTAATCACTGGTTATTTCAGCAAAGTACTGGCATTTTTAAGAAAATACAAATTCTTTCGTGCTGTAGCGAAACTTTATTTAAGTGTGTCGTGTAGAATAGCATTTCTCATAAATTCACAACATTCACACTTCAACATCGTAATAGTACTATATTGGCTTTGTAATGCTAAATCGCCATGTAATGGAATTTTCCCGCATTGTGTCACTTGCACACTTATTATACCGCAATCCATTCTGTATTGAGAAATTCCTTTGTCGTGGGAAACATTCATTTTTCTGGATCTTCGGGGTGGAAAAGTTTGTACATCTACAAGGTTTCTATACGTCATCTATATTACAAAAAATCTTGTTGAATAATGCAATTTATATAGATATATGTATATGCTAATAAATAGCTATCTAGTAAAGCATGTATCCACATAAGTTCCTTCTTGTAACAACCCAGTCAAAACACCCGGGAGAATTTCTACTTGTAATGGTTCAAACGGAAACTCTTCTCCGTCTACTGATATATAATGCTTCTTTGAATCTTTAACCCTTGGAATCAATCTATATCCCAAGATTTTCGCATGCTTTACGTTTTTATTATGTACATGAGTCCCCTTTTCTACTGAAAGTAAAATAGAAGTAGTTTCCATAAATGACGTCTTCGTGTCAGTGATGACCATATCCATAGTCCCATCATTGGGTAATGCCGCCGGGAAGAATTGGGCATCATTTGAAATATATGGCATTTTACCAACATATAAAATATTCAAATTATCAGTTACATCATTTGATATTCTTGTCCAATCTTCTGGCACTGGTTGATCTAAACTGGGGCCAGAAACTCTCAAATTATATTCAGTTATAATTGGCAATTCTGTCTCTTCTAAACTTCTTTGTCGATGCATTTCAACATGGGTAGGAATGGCATCCTTATCCCGAATCAAAAAATTCACAAATAAATCACAAGGGTATTTAGTGCCAATGATGACATTCCCCGCTAACCCCAATTCAAATCTTATAGGTCCCAACCATCTCAAATGATCAGTCCCAATATCTGCATCGGCAATTATCCCGTAACATTGAGTCAAGAATGATAATTTCGTAGTTTGTTGCCGGTCCATACCTTGCGTAACTGCCATCAAATCCAATTTTGTTCGTTTTGCTTTCAACATTTGAAACGTCGCCAATCCAGCATGATTACTTCCATGAGTACTTAGACTAAGTGCATTCCCTGACCCACATGGAAGTTGAGTAATTGCAATTTTATTAAATGCGGCAACCCCCTTATCTTTCTGTTGATAGAATCCATTGATTACTTCATGAGGAATACCATCACCTGAACAACAGGCTATTATATCATATTTTGATATATCTAACTCACGAGCGATGTCTATTCCGTGCCCATGGTATTTTGTCTCTTGATAGGTTATTCTTGCCTTTGCTGCTTTTAAAATTGGATATATTTCTGATTTATAGATAGTAGTTGCTTTTCCTTGACCTCCATGGGGGTTTATAAGGACTAAGATTGATGGTCTTATTATATGATTGGTATATGCTTTATCAAGGATGACATTCGATAGAGAAGTGGTGGAATTATAGTTTGGCGGATTTGTTATTTGTATTTTCAATGATGCTAACTTGATTGAATCTTTTGATGTAGGGTAGATATAAGTTAATAAAACTTCATCTTCAGTAGAATTCTCGTCATCGTCAACAGGTTCTGCGTATAAGATGTTTCTAAATGGAATATGAGGTTGAGAATGTGTAAATGATGGTGGTTGTGAAACACAGCAAGCTAATATTGATTTTGTAGATTGGGAAGTACCTTCGGCATTAATTGCCCATAAGGATTGTTCAGATATTTGAATACCAGTCTCATCTAATGAAGCTAATATACTCCCTTTGTTGCTGTAGATGAGCCTCTCAGTTGACATGCTCAGTTTCATCTTAGTTTGCATTGTAAGCACTGGGTATTCTTCTGTTTGCTTTTCTTAAACAATATTTTTAAGAAAGGCTCTTCCTTGCCCCCCCTAACAGAACAAAAAAATTAAGATTTTGGTATTTTTTTTTCCAGCCGAGCCGAATCTCCACTTACACTAGCCACCACCACCGCGAACGCGACCAGCCGCCACTACTGGCCACTTTTCATACTAGTTTGAATTATAAGAGTTCAAACAGTGTGAACACTATTAATCTGCACTGTTAAGAGTAGTTTTGGTCTGGCGAGGGTTGGGGGTGGTGGTGGGGGGGGGGGATATCAGTCTATATTACCAAGGTATCCCCACGGGTATTCCTCAAGTTCTTCCGGAATTAAACTTTTTTGTTTACAGATCAGTCGGAACGCGCCTCTGATTGCATTTTGTACTTACTTCTTTAATAGTAATGTTTCATTACAATATGACCTTCACTTTCACTCTGTTACTCATTGTGTTTGTGAAGGTGGAAGGATCAAACTAGGCAGCAGCCACTTGAGCTATGAGGAGTCAAAAAAATGTATAAAAACTTTAAAGTCCCGTTGACCACGTGAAATGCAATGTATTTCCGTCAACTTTTTAAAGTTTATGTAGATAATGAAGTTTAACCGAATACTACAATAGAATTTCTATACGGGCCGATAAATATTTCGGAAAGTTGCAAATTCTACAACTTACCTAATGTAATATGTTTATGAATAGAAAGTCACAGATAAGTTATTTAATTATTTAACTAAATATAGAGTAAAACAAGGTAAATTTCATCTAATTCTTCATCCAAAATCTCTTCATATTTCTCATATTCTCTCTTGCAAGTTCCATTGATGGCTTTTCAAAAATTTCATCAATTTCTTCCAAAGTCTTTCCCTTCGTTTCAGGCATAAAGAAGATTTGGTAAAAGAAACCAAGGAATGCAATACCTCCATAGAATCCAATTGATAAACCAGGATAAGTCATTGCTTCTTTCATACTGTTGAAATTATAAGTGACAGTAAAAGCCCATAAATACAAGAATGATGAACAAATAGTCATACCAATGGATCGAGTACCAATCGAAAAGGATTCAGCAGGTAACACCCAAGTCAAACATGCATAAGCACCAAAGAATCCCATATATAAGATAAGACCAGTAAGATAGACACCTTCAGCAGCCGATGGATTGGTTTTAAGATCGATTGTATAACCTCCACCGACAAGAACAAGACCAAAAAAGAACCCAACAAGATTCATACCCCAGACTCTACGACCAAATCTGTCCATATATAAGATTGCAGGAATAGTTCCCAACCATAAGGCAGAACCACCAACCAAGGACATGAAAACAGCATTTTTTTCGTCAAANAAGCACCAAAGAATCCCATATATAAGATAAGACCAGTAAGATAGACACCTTCAGCTGCTGCTGGATGCGCTTTAAGATCGATCATATAACCTCCACCAACAAGAACAAGACCAACAAAGAACCCAACAAGATTCATCCCCCAGACTCTACGACCAAATCTGTCCATATACAAGATAGCAGGAATTGTTCCCAACCATAACGCAACACCACCTACCAACGACATGAAAACAGCATTCTTTTCGTCAAACCCGATATTTGCCATCATAGTAGATAAGTAATACATAACCGCGTTGATACCAGTTAATTGACCTAAGGAAACCATAACAACCGCGTATAATAAAGCACGACGATTTCTTGGAATAGTGAATAATTCAAGCCAAACTTGAATTCTACTTTGAATAGCACGAAGATCTCTTTCAGCTTGAGCATTTTGAACCATTTGTAAGAATTCGACTCTTGATTTACGTTCTTCAATATGTCTTAATCTTTCATAAACATTGATGGCTTGTGCATACTTTTCTTTAAACACCAAATAACGTGGGGATTCAGGAAGGAATAAAATACCAATAAGTAAAATAGTTGAAAAAACTAATGATGATCCAATCATAAATCTCCAACCACCAGTTACATCATAAAACATAGCCGCGATAGCAAACCCTAAAACTTCACCAAAGGCAATAAAGAATTGATAAAGGGAAACCAAATTCCCTCTTTGATCAGGTGGAACACATTCAGCAATATATACCCCAATTGACCCACCTTCAATACCAACACCTAACCCAAGAATAAATCTACCAGCATACATCACATGATGATTCATAGCAGAACAACAAATAACAGCACCAATGGTATACAAAATACAAGAAATCACAATGGCTCTCTTTCTTCCGAAATATTCACTCAATGGAGTCATTAAGATCGATCCACCAACAGCACCAAGGGGCATCAAACTAGAAACCAATGAATTTTCATGAGAAGTCAACTGAAGTGCCTTGTTCATACCAATAGAAGCACCGGAAATAATCGATTGATCAACACCCGATAAAATACCAGCAAAAGATGTAAAAATCCCTAAGAATCTAACCATATTGTTTCTGTTCTTGAAAGTGACTGGGAATTCCAAGTTCTTGAGATTGGTTAAGAAAGTTTTGGCACCTCCTTGTTGTTTGAGGTCTTGGCCCATTTGAACATATTTTTCGAATTCCTGGTCAACATCAACATCGGCACCTAATTCGAGAGAATCGGTGGAGTCATGGGATACACTAACTTTATCACTTTTAGCATCTGGAAAAATCTCGACCATAGCTTTTTCGTTATTGAAAACGGTGGGTGAAATGGATGTTTCGTGAGTAGCAGACATTGTTGCTTTTGCTTGATTACTCTGAAACAATTGAAATGATAAAACAGGAAATTGGGGACTATTTATAGAGCAATCACCAGCATACCTCAACGGCTGTGAACCCGAGAATATGCGGTATCGGAATGTTATTGGTCCATGGAAAGTGGGGAGATATTGTTGATATACGATTTAATAAATGTGTTACAAATTATTATATATCCCCCACCCCCATGATCTAGGTATCTTGCTAAAGGGCCGCCACAAGGAGGCTATTTGTTGGGTAGATGCGGGTTATTAATCTACACAATCATTTCGATGTGGGTGTCAATTGATGAGCCCCCTTGCGTGATTTGTCTGATTACACTAAAGTCCAACCAATAATAAACTATAACCGTGAATTATATTTTTCCATTTTGCAACTGTTGCGGGAACAATAATTTTCCGCCCCCATTGTTTTTTAATTTTCCTGCACCAGCCGCGTTTCCTCCACATTCCTCCACATTTCACAATATTTTTTTTTTCATAAAATTACAATAAAAAAACGGCCGCCTGGAATCTTCAAATACGGAGAATAGTTTTCGAAATGTGTTATTCCCATATTGCCTTGATAACCCAAATACACCGAACCTGCGGAATAGGGGTTGTTGTTCAAACATTAATTTGAAAGATTACTTAATTGAAGAACGGGAAAATATTTTTTTTCTAAGGCAAATATTACCGGGCTTTAAGAACAATAATTGGGAGCCCCCACGCTCAGTGGTTATCAATGTTTTCTGGAGCGCAAAATATTCCGAAATCTTTAGTTCTTCCGAAGTTCTTCCCTGCATAACGGGGCTTATAATAATAAGCCGACTTCTTCTGGGTTTTCCATTATTATCACAAAAAAAAGTCCTAACCAACCGATATCTAGACACACTTAGAATGAATGGTTTGGGAATTAAAGTAGATGCATAAAACATGATATTTTAAAACTTATGACAATATCACTGTAGCCCCAACATACAATCAATGCAGGAAACATTACAAGATTAACAATTTAACCGTGGAAAAACTAGAAAAATAAGATTAAAAAATATTCAACTGGAACAATATAATTGCCGGACATCCTTTGTTTCGGAAAATTATTTAGTGAATTTGCCGGAATCACAGTTAATTATTGCGAAATAATAATCACCTGTCTCCTCACGAATTGTTCCATTTTTTTTATTTTTTTTCTTTTTACACACTACCAATTTGTAGTCCCCGATCCGAGTTTGATCCTTTCTTTTGTCAGATCTCCTCATTGAGTTTATCCAGATATCGCTTGGAGACAATAGATAATGAAAGAAACGAGGCTTATTTGCATATTTAGCTAATAATAATACTTTAATTTAACTTGCGATTCCCTAACAATTGAACCACATGAGGTTGTTAAGTAATATCAGAGTTCTAAGTTAGGCAAAGTGGGGGAAGATAACGACTCATTGAAGTTCTCTTTGACGTGATTGGAGGACTAGTTTCTCGAAGATTTAACGGTGAAATACATGTGGTAGTCACACTAGCGCTGAGACCTAATACATGCTCATATAACGGAAAAAAAAAGAGACCCCACGCTGATGATGCGAGAATAGGCTCCATATAAAAACATAGCTATTTGCAATCGCTATAGTGTGGCCGTTCCGTTATGCATAAAACTACAAATGAAATCTTACAAATTGATATATGGAACCCATTCCAATGTCATCAGCTAGACCATTTATTTGCTCTTGCTAGGAGACTGACCAAGCAACAAAATCAACTTAGTACCAAAACAGACGTAGTTAAATTACGGTGGTAATTGTGTGTAATTAAATATATTTAAAGAAAAATATTTTCTTTGGTGGGGCTGTCGTCGATGTAAAAATAAAAAAAATAAATTGAAGTTTGCCAAGTAAAAAATTGGAAACTTCCCATTGACAGGACCCTTAAAATTTACAAACCATGGCAAACTCTCCAAGAAAATCTGATTCTTGAGTGTATTTTACACACAGATTTATATAGTATTAGTCAAGTTAGTTGAGAAGAATATTCTATTTAGATTGATGATTTACTTTTGGATCTACGTCCACTTTTATATTATTGAATACGCAATTTTTTCTCACCAAATTTGCTTAGTAATCTATTGGACTTTGTGTTCATTCATTTTGTATTATAAATTCATTTGCTGGTAGTTACCGGATCCGACATCGCTGTCGATATTAAATGCGCTGGATGTCGCCAGATCCTACATCGCTGTGGATATTAATATTTAGTTAGTTAATTCATTCATAACTTGTTATACAAGCTATTCACTTCTGCTTAATTCACTGTGAGTAATTTACTCTTCTCGTAAGATACATACTTGTCCATAATAGCCATTCAACAGTATTCTTATTTTGTGCAACAAATTCCCAACTACACCCCTCATATACATAGAATAAAGCATTTGCTTTATTTTTTTTTTTTAGTTTTCATGGCTGCAGCCATGAAGGAAGAAATGCATTTACGCACGAGCTAACAGCATGGGACTTGACCTTTCGGTAATACCCACTAGAACTTCCTTGAGAGCACCAATAAACCAATAAAATCCATAATAGAAATTACCCGTTGCCCAAACGGATAATTCAAATGAATGGAAAATGTAAACCACGACCACAATATAGTTCATCAGGATAAACATTCAACTTCTAAACCCATCAACACCAACAGTCTAATAAAGACCCCTAACATCAAATTA